GGTTTGTGATTTCTGCAGAAACAGACCTAATATCTTGTTCATGATATATATATTGTCAAAAAGTTATCTTTGTATCTTGGTTAATGTGGACATTTTGTCTTATACCATGTCACTGTTATCGTTTCATCCCTTAGCTCTACTATGTTTCCTTACCTTTACCTTTATCATCTTCTGTTTTTTTTTTTTTTGAATACCTTACCTTGGCTCTAACTGAGTCTTATCTCTGAAATGATTTTTTGTTTCTCCCACAGTACCGTACCGATTTAACTAGGTTTCTGCGACTCAGGTCATCTATCTATTTCGTTACCTTAGGGTTAAATTTCTGTCTGGTAGTTTGCTGACGTTGTACCTTATTGTCTCGATTACCTATTTCAATTATCGCATACCGTTTAAATTATACATTTTAATTATCGTTTATCATTAATCTAGTCTATTCTGTAACTTTTATCAAATCTATTTAATACCTTGCCGGTGTTCATGATTCAGAATCAGATTTCTCCAGCCATTTCCGTCATGAATTTTGTTCGGAATTATTCCCTGTACCTTTATTAAGTACTTTTCTCTACCTACCTCTCTATCTTTATCTATATCTTTCTCTTTCTTACCTTGCCATTATTTTGCTGTTATCGAGGATGTTACCGTTGTGACCTAATACAATGTTGTGCAATTGAATAGTTGCAATATGTTTGTATTGGGGAGTGGTCGAGGGCTAGATTGGACAGGCTGCTACATACTAGCTTATTGACACAGGCTTGGTAGTAGAAGTTTGAGTCGGGTGGTTCTTTGAGAATAACGTTGATTTCAATGAAATGAGCCATTCTTGGGATAATTGCATTCCTAGTGTTCGTCCGCACACTGATATCTTTCTATCCCTTCTTGATTGAGCCTTTTTACGGCTAACTTGTATATGGCTGCTGATCCCCGTTATATGCAAGGAATGGAAGGTCTCTCTTACTTCCTCTTTGGAAACTCTGCCCAGAACGAATACAACAGGTATAAATTGGCGTTTTATTTTTTCACTGCATGGGGTCTTTCCCTGTGTAGTTGTTTTGTACCGTTTCTCTTCTTAATGTTTTGGATGGCAGAATAATGGTGAATAACGTTGAAAGTTCCGTCAAGTTTTTAAAAGACCCCACTTACTTATATGATTTTTTCTCAATTATTGCTTCTCGATTATGACTTACCAAAAAATGACTCTCTTATCGACGGATGATACACGATAGATATCAGACTAAAAAAACCTGACAACGACTTTCAACACTTTTCTTTTCTTTTCTTCCTTAACTATGTGATTTTTTTTTATATATCTACTTACCCTACCTAGTTTTTAAGTTTATCGAAAAGAATAGTTATTTTTGTATCAAGGGCGCGAAATGCTACTTTGGTGATCGAGATCTTTTTTTTTTTAACGAGGCGCAGCGGAGATCACCAGAGTATTTCGCGCCCGAGTTGCAAACAATATTTTTTCTACAACTCCATTTAAATATCAATCATTCGAAGCCAAAATTGCATTTTCAATCAAAAGTAGGTGAGTTTTAATTATTTTTGATTTCGTGAGAGGTATGTGTCACCATGACACCCAGTGTGCGAACTAGCTATTTCGCGCACGGCGTCATGGGAACGTTAAAAAATCAATACCTGGGAAAAAAAGTGTCACTTCGCAAACTGTCATGAGTGTGCGAACATCATCATTTTTTGACAGTTGTAGAAAAAATATATTCTTCATATATATATTTTTTTTCTTTTTGAAGGAGGGCAGTGTAACATTACAAATGTCACTTGTTTTTTTTCTATAAATAATAAAGTCTGTTTTTTTTTCTATAATTATTCAGTCCATGTGCCGGCATCTATTCCCGGCTGAATGTATTATTTTATCGGCGACCTCGAGAATGGAGTAGGCGTTTTCTTTTGTACTACCTAGATCTATTCGACGCCCAGTACTTAGTTGCTCTTTAACCTCGTTAATAGTTTTCGAACGTAGTAATTTTTACATAGTTGAGGGTCGACAGGTTGACAGTGTTTTTCTTCAGTACTGTCAAATGAAATCTATTTATTCCCGAAGAGAAAATTGAAAAGTCCCTTTTCTTATCTGGCCAACCCCTGAGAGCTTGACTCTCAATTGTGGCTTCGGGGGTCAGTCATCTTCCGAAATAAATTACCGTTCTTCTGTATCTTATTATAGGAAATAACGTTGCCTAAGACAATAGTACATTGATTGCCGAGAAAATTTAAGTAGAAAGTCTTGTGATTGTCGGTTTATTCAAGTTTGAATTTCGAAACCCACGTATGTTTTTCCCAGGGCCTATTTCTACCGTGAGCCTGTTTTGACCTGTATCTTCCGAGAAGTTATTTTTCTCAAGGAATCCATTTTCTACAAGCCCCATCTCTGGGCATAGAGCTCTTGAGTGTTTCACGTGTCGATTCCTGTACCTCTACCGTTGACGAGGAAAACTGAACTTCTAGCCTCTATCTTCCAGGCTAGAATCTACGATTTCCAGTGACCATAAGGACTGGATGGCTACCGACTAGAAACCGTAATCTTCCTTTCCGTTGGAATTGAGGCTTGAATGTTTCGTTATTAACTTTTACATCTTTTTGCTTTTAATTCCGTTCTGTATTCAATTAACATAATTAATTGATTACATTCTTACCGACATCACTTTTATATTTTCAGTTTCAATTATGGACACTTGAGTGAACTTCGAATATTTTTTTTTTTAGATTTTTGATTTGCCCTGTATTTTCTATAGATTATTTTTTGCTAACTTTCAGTACCATTATATTTAAATATTGCCTAACATTTTATCTTTTCTCATTAATCATAATCATTTATCTGAACTGAGGTCAAGGTTGGACACTATGTTCTAAATTTGAAATTATTGTGTAAGTACCTATAATGTCAAAAATTGATCAATTTTTAACCCTGAGTCCTACGACTTGTATATTTGCGGATTTCTATTGAATCTCCAGACCATTTAACCATTATATAGCCAGCCCAACTTTTGATTTCTTTCAGGTACAAATTGATCTCATCGATTTTTTTTTTTTTTTTTTTGGTTGAACTTATATGGTACATACTATACTACATAGGTATATTGAGGTACATTTTATTATTATTATTTTTTTATTTTCGAATTTGGTAAAACTGCAGATTGAAAGTTGACATTTATTGGTTGATTTTATTTAAATTCTTTTATCAGTAATTGTGTACTACTTTGAAATTGGATGGTTTTTGATTTTCAACCTCACTGTGAAATATACTGTTTTAATTTGAAACTTACTTAATTGCTTTATTGGTTTACCTAGGTCAAGGTTTGTTGATTGTGTGCATTATTTATTTCTTTTTCAGGATTACCAATTACCGTTTGCTAATTATTTTCTAGGTTGTTTCTGAATTTTCACACTTCCATATTTTATGCAATTTTATATAAAAAAAAAAATTCAGTGGCGCCCTTGCTGTGTTTATTAAAAAATATCAACCAACACCTAATATTTTTTTCGCTGAGCAAACCGAGCATATTATGGACCCATAGTTAATTTGTTAACAAAAGGGGTTACAAGTTTTGAGAAAAAGATTAAAAAATTGGAATGTGGCTTGAGGTCAGAAATTGTCTCAGCCTTGGCTACACTTGGTATTGAAGTTAAGCCACCACTATGACGGACATACATCGTGGGCCATGTACAGAAGTCAATTCGAGACTATTGCAATGGCTTATGGGCCTTATGGCTAGAGCGTGACATGGCTACAGGCTTGATTGTAGTATTGCGTGGCCCTGCCTTAGACCTATAGAGAATCTTCCGCTGGCTTCCCAACAATACTATGGAGATCAACACCGAAGGCAGCTTTACCAGGTACAACTAAGAACAAGACAACAAAAAGTTGCAGAAAGCCTTCAAGAATTTGACATTTGACATCTGCCGTCTAGTTAATTTGGCCTATCCGGAAGCAGCACCAAAAATGCGAGAACAACTAGTGGCCGAAAACTTTATAAATGCAGTTCGAGATATGGACGTACAGAGAACGTTGCTCATAAACAGACCATCAAGTTGCAGCGAAGCCTTGATCAAATACCTAGAAATTGAAGCAGCATATAAGATATCCAAGCAAAAGATCAGAGCCGTGTCAATACAAGAGAAAATAGAACCAATGGAAGGAAATTCTGTGAGAAATACGAAAAAATGGTTCCAGAAGCAATCAAGGGAACTTATAAGGAAGCATTAAATGATACCGCTGCGGAAAGAGGCGGACATTTTCACCGTGATTGTAGAGTACGGTTGACATCTCGCTTTCCTTCTAATAATTCTCAGCATTCAATGGGTAACTTGACCAAGAGCTCCGCATGTGGAAGAAAAGGACATTTCAAACGTGACTATAGAGTACAACTGAGAACTCGCTCTCTTTCTGATGACTGTCAACCTTCGATCGAGAACTTGCAACGCCGAGCATGTTCAGATCAAGACAAAAACTGCCTCGGAATTGATCAGCCAACAAGAGTTCCTGTTAGAAGCTTACGATTGGATGCGGATCAAGAACGGAGTCCCAAACAGCTGGGAAGTGAACAACTAGAAGAGAGTTGCCTCGATTTTTCGAGATTAGGGAAGCCGGGGAAAGATCAACGAAATGTAGAATAGAAAAATCCGGCAATCAGTCGATTAGTTTAATAAAAGTTGTTAATGTTTGTGTTAGTGAGTTTCAGTGAACCCGGAATCCGTGACAATAATTTAAAGCTCAAAGCCAAAATGAATAAATACTTAAATGAATTCCGTTATTCAGTAGACTCATTTTGGAAACCAAATGTCGAGAGTGGTTATGGTATGGAAAAGCTCTTCATACAGTTTTTTTATTAGATATTTAATAGATCTTACCGCTCTAACTACCCAAGAACATTCAAATCATCATACGGGTATAGGTTTCACGACAAGAAAGTTAGCCTCTGACCAAAATTTGGCTCATTTAGAAATTAGTTCCGAGCTTTTTGATTAAAAATACAACTACTTACTTTTCTTTCCAAAACTCGGCCTAACTTCATGCTTCACCTCTTTTCCATAAGAATCTTTAGACAAATAGATCGGTTTAGTACTAAAAGACACTATTGAAGGTGAATGTGCTTTCTCGTCTACATTGAATATTTGAATTTGCGAAATTCTGACTGATCGCTTATCACCCTCTATTGAAGATTTGCTACTACCATCGTCTCTAGCAAAATCGCTTAAACCGGCATGCTCCAAAGATTCTTTTCTCTTTCTGCAACGGTCGCAACACGTTTCCGTAAAACTCAACTGCCCAAGATCTATGGATTCCTTATGCGTATGTTGGACCTTTTTCTGGCACATTACGGAAGGTTCCCTCAATTTCACCAACGAATCTTTCAGAATCTCTACTGAATTTCTAGCAGAAAGCAACTTGGAGGGTAGCTTCTCGATTTCAATTATCTCTTTGTCTTTTTTCTGCTCTTTGAGGACTTCAATTGAATCTTTTGGCGATTTGTCAAATTCTCTCGATATTTGTTGTCTGGCTAAATCTGACATGCGCATGAGGAGTGAGTCTTTTGTGCTTACCACATCGATTTCTTTTCCTTTGTCAATTTCCGATAGTGGTAAAGATTCACTTTGCTCGATTAATTTAGTTCTCAAATCCGAGATTATATTTTTTTGTTGAGATGAGCTTGAAGATAAAATACTTCTATGTCTTTTGTCAGTCAAAAGCTCAAGGGAGTCTTTGGCAGCAAGGATCTTTGATCCAGACCTGGATAAGGGATTCTAAAAAAGGAGAATGAATAATTTTCGTAGACATATACCCGTTTGAGGTTTACCGTTTCAAGTAGGACTTCTGAGACAAACGGAACTGTCTTCAATAAACTCCTAGTATAGCTTTTTCTGGAATCCATTGATGATCTCGTACTTCGATTTCCAGGAATAGGATCACTAGTACCATCATTAAACTGGACTATAGATTTCAATCTATTTGTGTTCTGGTTTTCGGTATCCGCCACTTGTTTACTCAACGATTCATGGGAATCTTTTTGGCTTATCGAACCTCTTTCAACGCGTTCTTCGGCCTTTTCTTTTTCTTCTTCTTGCACTTGTTCTCTCCAGTTGTTCACCAAAATTTCAACATCTTTGTTCCATAGCATGTTACTAGGAGTTAATGGCACCCCACCAGACAACATGTCACGAAAATCTTCTCTTACGTACGTTTTTTTCTTAAAGTAAATCGCTGGAAGATTCTCATCTCGGTCTAAAACAATTGACAATCAATATTATTGTTCTAGTCTTCAAAATCACTTTCACTTAGGAAAAAATAATACGATTTATATTATATTAATATAACTGGTTATTTTACCAAGTTCAACATCCGGACCGAGAGAAGGTGGATAATGTTCATTAAAGCAGTCATGAAAGTCGTTGATTTCCAGTTCTTCTGCAGAGGACGATTTTGATGAACTCGGATAAGTCCATGGAATAATTGGATCAGCTTTTTCGAGTTTTGGAACATCTAAAATTTGAATTAATCAATTATATTGGCTAAATGTTTAAAAAATATATTCAATATTACTAGCTTTGGTTATGTTCTGGGTGAGTTCAAATACCAACATCTTTTCTACGGATAGCAAAAACTCCGCTTGAGTTGGTGCAGCCCTCAAAGCAAAATTAATAAACTTCTGGAATTGTTTAATGACTTCCAAAAGGCACGCTTCACGTAAAGAAACATTGTTAATTGCCTCGTGTTTTTCTTTAGATATTGTTTCTATTATTTTATCTTTGTGTTTCAGTTTTTCTTCTAATGTTTCAATTTCATTTTTATAATGCGTTTCAATGGTATTTTTTTGTTCACAGCATTTTCTGCGTTCAGTGCAAAGAATGTACATCATATTCACTAAATTGGTGCACTCCAAGTTGTGTTTTAGTTGTCGAAAAGTTTCTAGACCTTTTGTCTTTGCCAATTTAGCATCAAAGTTTCTTAAATGTTCCTGTTTTTGTAGCTCCTTCTTGAATATTTCTATGAATTTAGCTTCTTGTTCATCTAATTGTGATACAAAATTTTTTGTCATCAAATCAATCGTTCTCTTAACTTCCATAGTTAATTTTTTTTCCCAAAGGGCTCCTAATGATGCGCTATGCTCAGTTATTGTTACTTCATACTCTTTACGAATATTTGCCTCAAGTGTGTCTGAAATAAAACATTCAATGGTTGATTAATTTGGGGATTACTCTATAAATAAATGCAAACCTAATTGTTGTTTCAAATATAGCTCGAAGTCTTGTTGCTGTTTTTGTAGCTCGATATGGCAAGCGATTTTTTGCTTTATTTCTAGGTCCTTTATGTCACATTTCATACGATCTTCTACACTCGCTATTAAATCCGCCTTGTACATTTCCAATGATTTTTTCTTTTCCACTTCCATATCCATTTTGAATTTGTCTTCTAATTCTTTGCCAATTTCTAGAACAAATTTTGGTATAATGATAAATAATTTTACTTCTCCCAATGCACGCGATTAGGATTTCTTGTAAATTTGCCACATTAGTAGATTCCTATTTATTTATTCAATATTGAGGGAGCCACAATAAAACTTCCCGCAAGTCAAGCTAAAACAGCGTTGGCCGAGGACTGCATGGCTAACATCATGCGAACTCTGGGAACCCGGCGACACCCAGTTTCAAGAAGCCTTTCGTTGGCATTCGGGGCTCTGCCGGCGGCAACGGTTTATTTCCCTTGCTTTCCGTGGTAACAAGAATGGACGAGAAAAAAACAACAGAAACAACCAATCCTGAGGCTGGAGCTAGTAGCTCACCTCAGGATAAAACCAAAGCAATCTTCAGCCTTTAAAAGAAGGCAGAAGGCAAACCGATTGGAGCAGTGCCCCCTTCCTAAGTCCACGGGCAGCGACGCCAGTTCCACCTCCACAAGGAGACCGGAACGCGTCCTCGCTCAGGACAAAAAAAGAATTAGATTAGGGATGTCCAACGAGGAAACTCCGGTCAGACTCAAGAAGCCACGTCAGGTGGCCCCCCTGGTCTCTGCCAACAAAAGCTACAAATATGCTGCGAATAGCCACCTGGGAGAAGCAATTATTGACAAGGACAACCTCTACGGCAAACTACCTGCCGATAAGGAGGAAATCCTTAAAATCACTCTACTAGAGAAACTGGACAGAAACCTGGCCACCTCCAGTGGTTAGAGTTTCACGTCGTGGATATACACAGGGGAGATCGTCAGGATCACTTGTTATGATGACGTATCGAAAAAATACAGACCCTCAGCGGAGGGTCAATCGGCATAAGCCTGGAGGTAGTGACGATGGAAAAACTGCCAAGGCTGACGAAAGCCACCCTATGGATACCAGGGTAGGAAAAATCCGATCTTGAAAAGAAATAGGTTGTGCTACGTCGTCTGGCATGCCAGAACCCACATGTCTCGATCAAAAGATGGTGTCTCTTCTACTACGAGAAGAGGGAAAAGCCGGGAAGGGGCCACACCCTGGTATTTGGTGTTAGAGAAGAGGACGTGAAGACCCTAAAACAAAGGTCATCGAGGCTGAGCTACGGCTTCACCTCGCTGATCATAAAACTAAAACCAGAAGGTACTAAAGGAGGAGGAGGAGGAGCCATCTGTGGCTGCGGCCACCGGGTAGGGTTACGCGGACCCTCGGAGCACGGCTACCGACAGAAGCGGCTAAAGTAGATTTTGTTCAGTGTAACCTGCACCATAGTAGGGCGGCTTCGGCAACCTAATGCCGCCACCTGGATGTGCCGCAGGACACAATAGCACTTATTCAAGAACCTTGCATAAGACAACGTAAAATCATAGGTATAAGCCACTAACTGGTCCAATCGTCCAGTCTTCAGTATATCTCCCCACAGATGCTGAGACCCTACCACTCAACAGGGACCTTGTAGAGCTGGTCAGGCACTGTCAAACCCATGATCTGGAGCTGGTGATTGGGTGTGACTCCAACTCGCACCACATCAACTGGGGAAGTCGAAATATAAATCCAAGTGGTAAGTTTTTGCGTGACTTTATAATAGGTAATGATCTGTTCAACAACTTTCCTAAACTCTGGTAGTCGAACTGTAATAGAAATAACACTATGCTCAGTATTAGGATCAAACTCGATCCATAATTGGCGCGTATCTGAAGTTTCTATGTCAGATCACCGATGGATTACTTTCACATTAAACTGCTCGCCTAAAACCACAAGACTTTATCGTGACCCAGAGGAAACCAATATTGTACACTACGTGCAAGGTCTGGAAAGGGCTCTACGAGAGGTTGCAGTTAAAACGCCCAATGATGACCAGAATTGAAGCGGTAGCCAATACGATCCAAGGAGCCATCATAAAATCGTATAAGATGTTGAGCCCACTGAGGATGTTCCAAAACTCTGGTAACACTTTGGTAACACCTCTGTTTGGTGGTGTCAGGAAGTGGAGCGACAACAAGAAGAGCTTTCAATAAAGCTAAAAACACCAAACTATCTGAGGATTGAAACCTTTATAGGTACCAACTCAACCAGTATAAAGAAGTCGTACGACAAAAACAAAAAGATGCCTGGAGGACATACTGCAACGAAATAGAAAACTATACGGAAGCGGCGAGACTTCAGAAAGCTCTTAATAAAGACCCATTTCGAGAAATTGGTATCCTATGCAAGAAGGATGGCACCTTCACTGCCAACCTTCAAAAAAGCACAGAGCCAATTTGTTACCTGGAAAACGCGATTGATAAGTAAATAATAAGATTTGAGGAAGTGAGACAGTGAATGGGTAACTAAAACAAACAAAAAAAAATAAAAGAGAGGGTTGGTTGGTGGCTGAGATCTAGAAACGGGACTTCGTGTGAAGGGTTGCCGACTAGATTCAAATGCGGAGAGGGGTGTGGATTAATTAAAATAATTAGATATAAAGCGCCACCTGCTTTTCCCTGCAGTACACGAAATCAACCGATCGATATAGCGAAAGCAGGAAACTTCTACGGACCTAGCAGCACAACCTGAAATGTAAATTAATAAGACAAGCTTACTAAATGCAGTACCTTCGCAAATTTAATATAATATAGGTAATATAAATAAATAAATAAAATTGAAATAACAACACATAACCTGAAGGGCAAATTTAATATTGTAGTAGACGGCTGCGTCGCTGTAGTGATTTATTTCAACAAGGGGTTGGTAAGGTTTGATAGGTTCCAGATATTAGGACAATACAACACACTTATCAAACCTGAGTAGTCCCTAAGCCCTTGAGGGAAACCTGAAGGATTGAATTGATATCTTCCAGTGTTTCCGATGGCCTGAGACTGGATCAGGGCCGCGACAAGAAGCAACTGGCCTTGGGCACTGAAGTTTAGTAACTAGAAGTCACTAAAGCTTCCAATTGTTTAGCGGAGGCTGAAGACAGGAGGTACGACTTGAAATATACAGTAAGCTTAACGTTTAACTTTTTACTCAAAGTTAAGGACTAAAGCGTGACGATTAAAGGCCAAAATACTTTGTCCTTTAGAAACAAATAATTGATCACGTTGCTCTTTTCCGGCTTCGTATATAGCAACACATAAATTGATATATCTAGAATCCTGATCTGATTTATTAGGCGTAGTGAAACTTTTACCATATTTATAAGCACAGGCCAATCTTCCCGAATAAGCCACACTTATATTTAGAACCCTCAATTTCAATAGCAGATTCTTTCATCATGCTCCATTCAGCCCAAACCTTATTAGAGTTAACTATTATTCCGTTTTCTTCAGGCATAAGATTTGAAAACTCTCTTATTTGATGAGCAAGATTTGAAACTGCCCAGAATTTTATAACACCAACTCTGCAAGCTGTTGCAAAGCAATATGGAGCAAGACAAGCAGGATAAATAGATGCAGAACTTAAATGACCAGCAGCTGCTGTAGCATGAACAATCTCAACCCCATCTGGTAAGGGTAACACTTGTTTTATTTCCCTCTCAACTGTCAATGTAATATGGGGGATTGTTTCAAGTTAATCGACTCTACGCTGTCTCTTCTTGGAACGTCATTTTCATCTTGAATTAAATTTGAATCTGGAACATACATTTAACTGGCTGTTAAGGATAAATCTGTATCAGTTGAAGCTATGGTTAACTTCCACGTATGTATTATAGTGTTTTGATCTGTGCAATCGAAAAGTACTATGAAGAATGGTTCTTCAAATACTGACGACTGTTTCAAGTCAGCCATTGCATCTTGGTTTGCAGCTTTTGTAGAGCTTCTTTGGCCAGTGATTAATTGTTTCTGAATTGCTGCAAAAATGTCATATGTTGCCACTCAATAGTCTCAGCAATAGTTTCCAGTTGAATTATACAACCAGCTCTAGAGGTACTTTGCTGAGATACAATATTAATATTTTACAAAAGTGTATCGTCAATAAACGATGACATATCCGACATATCGCTCATATCATGATCAGTTTGTTTCTGACGAGTTTCTTTGAAAGACAAATCTGCTAGCAAGGTTCTAGCATCAATGACTGCTTGGTAGACTCTGAGGCACTGACCATCTGAGGCAACAAAACAAGCACTAGGGGAATTTGAGAGATTATCAAGGGTACTTGATGGTAGTAAAGTAGGAATCCAGGCAACGTTGCTGAAAGCAGACGGTTCTAGCGAGCTGATACAGGCTAGCTCGCAAATGACTCCAGATTATGATAGAGGACCCACTGCGTCTACTTTCCAGACAATAATTTAACTACAGAATCCATTCGATTTGTGTGGACTCTTCTGATTGACAATGTTATGATGACTAGTAGTCAACAAAAGTGGTAATACCGGATGACAGGTGATGTCATTGATTCTGAATATGTGGCTTAAAGCTCTGCTTCGGTGACCAATACTTAAAACTTGAGCGAATTTGCTTTGATCCGCAAAAGTGAGATACCACAAATTTAGAGTTCCATTGTCGTGTTTAGTTACTAGATATACTACTGGGACTGTGTCATTTTGATTATCAGCACAAAAAAGACCCTCCAAATCAGGTTTATTTTCGTCCTCCTCACACTGCTAAGATTTCTGTTACAAAATTCACTGTTTTACCAAATGTTTCATCAAAGGCGTGGTGCTGGATAAACTTAAGTGGCGGACATACTCATCGAGTCACCAATGGGAAAAGCTGATGGGATTATTGTGGAGAACGATACTTGGGCTTGACGGAATGATCCGGGATGAAATTCGTCCAGCCATTCAATGACCCAAATTAAAAAACTATAGCAACCACACAATTGTGGAGGATCAGACGCAGGTAACATACATACCCTCTGTGGCTGATTGGCAACTAGCGATTCAGATGATAGGAAAAAATAAGTTGGGCAATTTCAGGCTTCTCCGCCTTCAAAGCATCCAGCCCTACTGGGGTCTGAAGCCACTCTTGCTGCACCTGGTAGAGATGTCCAGGGCGTCCTTGGCGCTGAGATATATACCCAAGGCTTGGAGAGAAGTTAAAGTGGTGTTCCTACCCAAACCAGGGAGGATGGACTACACCACCCCCAAGGCATATCGCCCCATAAGTCATTTTCTTTAAAAATAATGGAGTGGCTCTGCGAAAAGTACATAAGGGATAAAGTGTTGTCAACCAATCCACTCTACCCTGATCAACATGCATATAGCCCTGGGAGATTAACGGACACAGTCATCCACCTGGTTGCTGGGCGAGTGGGAAAATCGCTGGACAACAGCCCTCGGGGTTTTCATCGACATTGATAGGGCCTTTGACAAAACCACCTTTCAAAAAACTAGCCACTCGCTGACAGAAAGGAATCGTCTAGAAACTCTTATCGGGTGGATATTCAATATGTTTTCCAAAAGAATTGTACAGATAAGTGTGCAGGACGTCGACACTAAAGGAATGGTCACAATAGGCTGCTCGCAAGGAGGCGTGCTATCACCTCTCCCGTGGAACATGGTTCTGGACAGCCACATTGTCCGCCTAAACAATGACAACCACTACACAATAGCTTACGCAGTCATCTTGCATTGAGGTAAATTCGATAACTCGCTTTGCGAATGCATGCAACATGCTTTTCGACTTAAAGAAAGATGGTGCACGGAATACATTCTCATATTGCTAAGAGAATACAAAAAGCATATATCGCTTATGAACAGTATAGACCTACTATCGGTAAGACCTGGAGTCTTTCCCCCAAGGTAGTTATGTGGATCTGTACAAGCATCATCAGGCCTATGCTTACCTATGGGGCTATTGTCTGGAAACATAGGGCCGAACAGACTGCTATAAGCCGAAATCTAGACCACGTTCAAGGAATGACATACCGCAACTAGTGCAATGGAAACCACACCAACTAGGGCTTTGGAAGTAATTCTATATTTGACGCCCCTGGATACTTATGTCAAGAAGGTCGTTTTAACCACAATGATGCGCTTTCGCACTGTTGGAATAAAACCAAGTGCAGAAGTCGGTTTGCAGAGAGCCCACATATGGTGTAAGGCAACGAACTCGCTTCCATTGTTGGAGGCCAGAGTGGACTCTGCAACACCATGTTTCGTCTTCAAAAAGCACTACGCAATCAACACTAAAAGTATTGGAAACAACACAATGGCAGGGGTAAGTAACATTGGTAACATCTATACTGATGGCTCCAAAACTCAAACAGGCTCGGGATGCGGAGTATACTCCAAAGCTCTTAAACAGAACCTAGCTATAGCCCTTAGATCCATGCCTAATGTCCTCCAAACGGAAATTACTGGCATAACCATCGCGGCCGAACAAATAGTCAGCAACAATATTACTGACAAGATCGTGCACATCCACACAGACTACAGGTTCGTTATTCTTGAAACAAGGGAGCAGCGTTCCCAGGAGAACGAGGGTTCCGTTTTTCTCAATGACATGCAAATGCTAATATAAGTCACAAAGACAAAACATTCGTTCTCCTGGGAACGTTGGTCCCCTATTTCAAGAATAAGGACCCAGACGAGCAGTACTAGCGCTACCTAGACCGCGACTCACGTCAGAACTGGTACAACATTGCCACCGTACATTCACCGAGGCGTCTATTAACAACACGGTGGTAGTCAGCTGGATCAAAGGACATGATCACAGCAAAGGCAAACGGGCTACCTAGCTAGAAGTGCCGCTAGGCTACAACCTCCTGGACCGGAGCCTATTGTAGGGCTGACAATGTCGGCGTTCAGAGATATGATAAAAAAAAAACGCTAACATATCATTTTCAAAAATTGCTGGGACGATATAATTGGCTGCAACTTATCCAAGGAACTGCTTAGCTACCCAGATAATGCTGCAGCGATCCAGAAGCTGTCGTTGACCAGGAAAATATATACGACAAAAATAACGGGTATCTTGACTGGCCACTGTCAATTAAACAAACATTTGTTTAGATTGCATCTCAGTACCATATCCTTGTGTAGGGTTTGTAATCAAGAAGACGAGACGATAGAGCACATGCTCTGTGACTGCACTGCTCTTCCGTCAGTACGCAGAGACAGCTTAGGCCAATTATTGCCATCGCTAGAAAAGATCAGAGGCGCCGTCCTCTGCGACGTCATCACCTACGTGGAATCGCTAGGCTGGATGACGAGCTAAGGATGACGTCTTCTCTTGTGGAGGCGCACAATGGGCCTAATGTGACCTAAGTGGTGTGGCATACCATACCACCCTCCCGAACTTACAGATACAGATTCAAGATTGAAGTGTATTTTTTAGGATCAGATCTAGACATGACTCAGAAAGAAGTCAAAAAGCACTGAACATAGGGGATAACTGGTGCAGGGAGGATGGCTTGTCGGTTAATCCGCAAAAAAACATTATTGTCCCATTCACAAAGGAAATAGCACTAAGAATGTCTTAAGTTTAACGGAGCGGAAATCCCCTCCTCAGAAGAGATCAAATATCTAGGAGTAATTTTTGACCAAAAAATTATCTGGGGTTCATACCTCAACAAAGTTGTCCAGAATCGCTGCAATATCCAAAGCCAATTCACAGCAAATATAAAAATGGACATGACTATGACATTAAGCAAAAAGGTATTTAACTTTTCTGGCTAATTTCAAATGAGGAAAAGGTGTTAGTACGGCAGTCTAATAGTCTAATGGATCGTGGACTTTAGATTAGTTATATGTCTGGTTTCATCTTTATCATTAATTGCATCAAACACTATTATACCTACCTAAAATTCCTTGATGTGTTAGAGCTTGCAAACATTTTGGAGTGAATGGCGGCTTTAAAGCAAGTTTTCCTACAAGCAAATCACTAGGTGAAATCCAAAGGATCTCGCCGGGTCCTTTTAGTGGTGGTGTTAGTCCAAAGTCTTCTTTAAGAGAATTTTGGCATTGATCGTAAACTACTTGTGCTGCCACTTCACCTAGATTTTTCTAATAATAATTATATACCACTATCCTTGAATATATTTGAAACTTTATGCTCACTTTAACATCCGATAACTTAGGAGCTCCCTTTGATTGTAATAAGTTCTTGCGGGTGTTGTAATAGTCGCTCATCGGTAGTTCGAATTTGTATTGGGACATTTTTTCTCTGGTTTAGGTATTTACATTTGAATCTCGGAATTATAGAATTTGACATTTTATTGAATTTATCTTTGTCAGTAGATAACCTGGGTTTGCTGTCAAATGAACACGTTCCAAGAATTTTTCTTCAAAAAAAAGTTTTTTCTCTCCCCTAATATTTCCATCATATTCGCGGCATATAAAATCCCAATATCGATCAATCGCTACGAAAAACCACATATTTTCCTTATTCATTTATACCTGACTCGTAGAACTCCACTTTAGCGTTGGGGCGGAAAAGTTTCCTGAAACTTTTTGGAGAATTTATTATGGAGACGAGCGAAAGGGCTGCATATGGAAACAGTCCAGATGTCTGAACGATTCAATTCAAATTTCAAGAAAGCATGTTCGGACTTTTTTAACAGCTAGTAAAGAACCTTGTCGGAATATTTTCATAAGCCCTCTATGATCAGATATAAAACATAAAAGGGTCACATCTCTACTCTAATTTCACGTCATATAAAATACATCAGGCAAACGACCCCGGGGTAAATTTTTCCTAAGGGCTAATGGCTTCCGAAAATCGTTAACGCTAATCTTATATCTCGTTCTGGAAAGATACCCTTACAAAACATGTGTTTGAAAATTGTTGCGGACGAAAAAAGCGCCTTTGACCAGAGACATTGCAAAATAAACTTAGTTAATTACATTAAATTTTAATCAATGAACCGAGAATCTTACAAAAACAAATAAGACAATTTGATCCAAATTCAATCTTCATTTATTAATTAGTCTTTGTGCAAAACCGGCTGGAAGTGCCAGAATTGGAGTGATTTATTATCTCTTGATGCCTTCGGAGTCTATCATCAATCACAGTCAGCATAAGGATCGAAAATCACAATAAATCTATTTTTTTTTGTTATCAATCTTAGTAGATGAAAAAATTAGGCTAAAAAGGTGAGATATTTCTGAAAATAAAAACGCCACGAAAATTACTTGGAACAAGACTTTATTATGCACCATCCTGGGTTGAGGTGACAACTTGCACTTTGCACTAAAGCATGCAGGGCTATATTTTTTACTTAAGGTTGCGTACAAAATTTCCAGGGGTTTTGGCAAATGTGAAGGAAAATAAAACGAGATAAAATGATTCACGAGTTTGGTAGAGGCGTTGTGGAACGAGGTCTGAGATAAAAACTTCAAAGTTTTCTTTATTCATGAAGATGTTTCTGGAAATGGCATAGTTTTCCATTTACATAGTAAATATAGAAATGTTTAATTTTTGTTCTCGGATTCCTTAAAATTTGATTAAACATTCCTCCCACGGCAAAGTTTCTACAATAAATGAGAACATCCATTATCAAGAGTTGGAGAGAATTGAAAGTTTTTGTTGCTTTGTTTAACTTTAAGTTAAGTGACATAGAAAATCAGAACAATTTCAAATTTAATATCTATTCACTATCTTGCCAAAACTCAAAACTGTAATGTGGAGCTTTCTATTCAGATGGCATAAGTTTGATTCAATATCTATAAATGTATCATTTTCATCAAATCTAAAATTAAAATAATTAGTTTCAATTGAATAGTTTATATTATAGTCAACTTACAATTCAACTATTTCAAAAATTGTTGTTGGATTTAGTCCCTGAATGTCTTTCATAGACTTGAAAACGAGTGCAAATTTCCCAGCCTCGAAATGGTCAAGATTTTATTTGTTAACAATTGCCAATTATAATAGGATACAGATGATTTGGGACTAGGTCCTTCAATATAGGCCGCCTCCTTTATTTGATCTAAATTCATGATTCTCTCTAAGAATAGAACAACGTATTATTATCAGGGTCTTTAAGAATAATGAAAAAATTACTTACATAGTTTTTTAGCACTAAACACAATGAACTATAAATGAGCCAACGACGCCCAACTTTGAATAAATTATCGTAGAAAAATGTTTAGAAACTGGAGCACTGAAAAAATTATCCTTGTATGTGTCCCTTGAGGACGCTGAAATCTAACTAAACTCTGTCTGAGAATGAATGAATAACAACAAGTATTATTGACAGGAAATGTGGTTTTCTGTTTTGTATTAAAATGTTCTTGTGGTTTCCGTTATTGAGATAAGAGGATTTCGAATAAATTAAGCAAGTTCGTAAAACTTGTTATCAGTGGCAGAAATTATTATTATTTAAAAATAATATTTGGGGCCCAAATTGGGGCCCCCGCATTTCTATGATGTCGCATTGCAATTGGTAGATAACGAGGCATGAATTATTGTCTGATTGTGGTCAGATTTTTAGTTTAAAAAAAATGGGAGCCCACGAAAAATGGGGGCCCAGTACGATGTATCTTGTTACAAGTCACGAGTTATGGGGTACCAAATTTCAGGTTACGAGTTCTAGGTACGTGCTACAAATTTCAGGTTACGAGCACGAGATACGGGGTATCAAATTTCAGGTCATGAGTTCTATGTTACGTGCGCCTCAAATTTTGGGCCTGTATTGTTACATATACGAATAAAGGGACCGTGGGTCTAGCAGCGGAAACAAGTGGCCCCTTTCCGATTTATTCCCTAGATTAAGGGACATTTAATTGGCAACGTCGCACATTATTAGTTTTGGCAACGTTGTACGTACCTGTCATGTTGTATGGGGTATCACATTTTAGGTTATGAGTTCAAGTAAATACGGGGCCCGAGAAATGGGGCTGGTATGGGGCTCTCGAAAAATGGGGCTCACGTCAATTGGCAACATCGCACATTATCAGTTTTGGCAACATCGCATTTGTCATCTTCAAATTTTAGGTTATAAGTTCATGTAAATGGGTCCCCGAAAAATGGGGCCACGGGTCTAGCAGCGGGGACAAACATGTGGCTCCTTTGCTGACGTCACTTGGGTTAGACCTTTTCAATTTGGGCTTGTCTACAAATGGGGCCCCCGAAATGGAACACAGGCCCACCTGGGTTAGGCCCCTTCAATTTGGGGCTTCTCTGATGACAGGCGCGGGCCCCAGAACGAGTAAGACGTCACTTCCGCTCTAGAACTCTCTTTGTATATCTACTCATAATCCTCGGGGTATTGTTTTTAGCATAAGAACGAGTAAAATTGGAATTTTAAGATGAAACATTTATTCAAGTTTGAAAATGTAATATTTATAGATCTACAAACCATTTTGAGGAAGTAGAGGTAGGTAATTTCAATGTTACATGACTGTAAAAAAAAATCCACTGAGGTCGTGTACACTTACTTCTTCGGGTACAAAACTGGTTTATTAAAGCCTTGCATATACTAAAGGTATTATTTTAATGAGTTAACGGAACTCCAAATTTGAAATCACCCTGAATTCACAATTCCAATCAAGTAGAATAGATTTTATTATTTCTTATGGTACAATCCAAGTAACAGTCCCAATGATGCTTCTGTATATTGTGAAAGTGACGTCCGTTTATGCGATTACATGTAGCAGAAAACATCACCTAAAACAAATATCAATATACAGTTTTCTGAAAAGAAAAGTAATTAAGATGCAATTTAATAGAACTCAAATTGAAATCTTAATTATCAAGTATAGTATTTTTAATTTGAAACACTTAAAAAACATCTAAGCCGTTTTCTCGTGTCCACTTTTTTGACATTGGTTCAAAAGCAGCTTAAAACAGTCAATGAAAACACCATTGTCCGTTTCAAACCTGTTTTGAACCAATGTCAAAAAAATCAACGCGAGAAAGCGGCTTAGATGTCTTTTTAGTGTTTCAATTCAAATTAAAAATACTATAGCTTCCAAAAGGTTTCAGAGAGACCACAGAAAAGATATCGCGAGGTTCCTTAACCTGAAAATGTACTTATAAATAAGGCAACGAAGAAATATTAAAAGCAAGGCTAAAGTTATTAAATTGAGGAGACCAAATGATCGTTACTGCCAACACAATATAAATTGGAACGACTCTGGATAGAGCATCTGCATTAATGTTTGATTTTCCCTTCTTATAGATTATCTCATAATCAAACTCTTCCAGCTATAAGCGCCATCTTCCTATTTTGGATCTATTATCATTCATCAAAAAAAAAACCGTTGGAGTGGACGGTGATCTGAAAGTATCTTGAACTTCCTCCCAAACAAGTAGGGTCTGAAGTACTTTGTAGCACAGATTATGGCTAACATTTCCTTTTCAATGGTGGAATATTTCAATATTTCGTTGAGTGTCCTGGACGCGTATGCAGTGGGCTTATCGCTGCCGATTGGTTCTTGGGATAGTATAGCTCCAATTGCATATTTGCTAGCATCAGTAGTTAGATAAGACTTGCTGAAGTCTGAATATTGGAGAAGAGGTTGATAATTTTTGCACGTTCTAATGCAGTTCAAAAATTCTGGTGTCAGTTCTATTCTAGCGTCCTTTTTGAGGCAGGAAGTTAGAGGTTTGGTTGCGATGTCCTTGATATCCAAGGGGCCTAGAAATCCTCGGATTTCTTTCGTGGTTCGCGGTATTGGATAGTCAAGTATTGCTTTGATTTTTGCCGGATTTGGTCTTATTCCTTCTGGTGTTACAATATGTCCAAGAAAAATAATTTCCTTTTTTAGGAACTCGCATTTGTCCATTTGAATTTTGAATCCAGTTTCACTGAGATGTTGAAAGATTTTCAAAAAATAAACCAGATGCTCTTGGAGTATTGTGCTGATCACAATGATACATACAATTTTCTCCTTGGAGGCCTTTCAAAACATTATCCATTACCCTCTGGAACGTAGCTGGAGCGTTTTTTAGGCCAAACCGCAACATACTCCCAATGGCCATTTTCGACATTGAAAGTAGTTTTGCATATATTTTCGTTAGCTATTCCGATTTGGTGACAACCACTTGCCAGATCCAAGGTCGTGAAGTACTGGCATCTACCAAGTTTCTCCAAAATGTCTGTTATGTTTGGAATTGGGTATTTATCGTCGATAGTTTTCTCGTTTACTTTTCTATAGTCCACTACTATCGGCCATTTTATTTTTCCGCAGGAACTATCCATATCGGGAAAGACCAAGGTTACTGGGTTGTTCTGATAAATCCTTGATCCAACATGGAAGATATCTGATTTTTCACTTCCCCTTTATGGATATGTGGATAACTATTTAACTTGGTGTACACTGGAATCTCATCGTTTGTTTTAGTATGGTGTTTGATCTGGTTTGTCAAGGTCAGGGACATGTCTGAATAATGGGAAATGTCTGCATATTCCCTACATAAATTTTGTATTGCCTTTTCTTCCTCTGAATTTAGGTGATTAGTTATGATTTCAGGAATCTTGCCATGCGCTGACGGAGATTCTTGAGAAATTAGATCCGTGGTGTAGATATGAAACTGATCAAAGTCCAATTGCGTGCTAATGACTGGAGTTGTCAGGGCTATCTGAAGTTCTTCGTCAGTTGTGTTGACAATTTCAGTCCCAGCGAGTTGATTACAAGCAGATCTGAGTGTTTTGGTTAATTTGTGCGCTCTGGAGTTCTTTTTTTGGTACAAGGATCGTACCCTAGGTATTTTTTACTGGAAGCCGTACTCGGGAAACGGTGTTAGGCGCTAGTTGGATGGAATTAAATTGAGTTTTGATCGTTTCGTAGTATTCAATTGGGACAATGGCGTTTTTTGTGATAAGTAATGACTCTGGCAGGTCCTATTTGGCTTGGACTAGCTTGAGGTTATCGAGTCCGAGTAGGCCATCAAATGTTTGGTGGAACTTGAAAAGGTAACACTTTGCTTTCTTATTTGATTTGAATTCTGGAAACATGGGAATGTGAGCACAATAGTCCTGAGAATGATTTTGAAAAATTGAAGTAATGATGAATGGCTCATGGTGGATGCAATCTTTGAAGTATTTAAAGGCTATGTCTGGATTGATAAATGATTTCGTTGCACTGGTATCTATAAGCAGCCTTCAAGGTGGATTGGCGATAGATTTGTATGGTAGCTCCTTCAGACCCTATGGTTCTGTTTTTGGATCGGTCGCTTCTGGAAAATTTCCTCCTTCAGTGTATTGGTGTTGCTCGTATGCTTGCTGCTGGTATTCATTTTGTTGTTGTTCTACGTCATAGTAATCATTGTCTATTTCTGGATAGTGATAGTTATCCTGTGTGTGTGTCTTCGTGTTGCTCGATATTAAATAATTCTTCCACAGTGAATTTTGGAGCAGATTGTTGTGGAGGTTTTACGGTGGCTCTTGATGTAGTGCTCATTGGTATTGGTTGCGGAAGCGTGCGGTTCGGAGTACCTTGCCAGACATTAAATTGGGGTCGAGGAATCGTGCAGACTGTACAATAGGCCGTCTAGTTTGGTTGAATTGCTGTGTTTACTGCTGTGATGATCTCTGGAATGCAGAAGAGGGCCAGGTTCTTCGACTTCCTGCCGAAAGTTGGAGGATTGGCAGGCATGTTTTCTTCAAATTTTTCTTCTTTTTTTCGGGCGGGAGTACAGGTAAGTTGTTTGAGTCGGTAAGAGTTAGAACTTGAAGTTGTTCTGGTAAATCGTCAGTCATATATGCTTACAGTAATAAGAAGATGCAATGGTGCATATTAACACTAAAATCACTAAAAGTCACTAAGGCACTGAATTTTGTCGGAGAAGAAAAATTTGAAAAGTAAAGAAGTCGTGATAGAAAGAAAATTCAAAACGGCCAAACTTCATTATGTGCGTGCTCTAAGTAATCAAAAGATTTATTTCAAGTACACATACAAAAATTGAGAGAACTCAACCATTTTTTGCAATGACTATGATGTGAAGTGAATTGACTATGGAACATTAATGAAAATTTCTACTTGGGCGGATAGCTACATAAATTCAAAAACTGTAACTTTCTCGAAATAATAAGTACAAACATAGGTATATTTTACCTGAAGACGCCGTCCTATTTAATATCCAATTCAAAAACGAGGTAGTCCTAGTATTAATTCCAGGATCACCGCTGGCACAACCTAAACCATGAGAAATAATTCCAATAAGGAACATTCTTTGTACGGAGCTGTCAGTCCATAAAACTGGACCTCCGGAATCGCGTTGGCAGGAATCTCTGACTACGATTAGAATGTCTCATCAATGATTAATTTTCTGAAATAATAACTTTACCTTCAGCATAGGTACAAATCTCTGTATCCAATATAGATTCACTTTGTAGCATGTTACAATCATTATTGGATATTGACTGTAAATTGGCTTTTAAAAGTACATCCGATGTTGGTCCAGAAAATTCAGTTTGTCCCCATCCTAAAATCAACCAGGCAATAACATTCTTTTAATCAATGTTTCGTAGTCTTACCTAAGATAACAACGTTTTGATTGACAAATTGGTTTGAAGAATGCCTGAAAGGCAAACACGTTGGTCCCACATATGTACTAAAAACTATTTTAGTAGTTGTCATTACAAGAGCAATATCGTTTTTGAAATTATTTGGATCGTAGTTTGGATGATACTCATAAGCGTAGACGTAATAGACTGCAGAATAAGCAGTATCCCCTCCTAAATTTGAAAAAAATTCTTTACAAGTAATATAAGTAGTTGAAGTTTACCAGTGGTGATGTTATGGTCTCCTACCAAAACAGCTAAATTGGTAGTGGACTGTCCGTAAACACAATGGCCTGCAGTTAAAACAAAACTCGACGAAATAATGTGGGCTCCACAAAATAATGATGCGCTATTTCGAATTATTATGGCAGCCATTGATGGGTATTCGTTTACACCTGTTTCTGTACCATTTACAATGTTAAGAGCCTAGAAAAAAGGGTCATATCTTCTGATAAGATGATTTTTTATTGGAAAATATGTTATTTCGTGTCTGTGCTTCCGCTTGACCCATATGTGATAACCTTATGCATATTCACCCAAAACAGTGTGCCTCTGTCCTTTTCTTGCCACCTCAACACCACCTATCTTGTCTTACAGTCACCCAGCTCTGCGCTCACCTCTCCTGCTGTTCTCGTCAGCCGGCAAGCGTATATACGATCTTCATTACGCTTTGTTTATTCGACCAAAACAGTGTGCGTATAATAGTAATTTATTTTTGCGTTCGTGTGTGTATACAAGGTAGGTTTCTTTTTGTATATTCTTTTTGTAGGTATATATAGACTGTTCTTTTGAGTGTAGGAAGCCAAGCATTTAATTTGAAATTTGATTTTTATAATTTAAGAAGGCAGCTCGTTTTCTTGGACGACTTGTCAAATTTTGGAGCCACGCCTCGATTTTTGGGGGCAACGTCCCGATTTTGGAGGGCGACGTCTCGATTTTGGAAGACGTCGTCTCATTTGAGCTGTCAAAAAAAATTTGTATTCGAAGTTGTGTAGCTGTTTAGCTGTCTGCGTTGTTCATATGGGACGCCGCGCCGGCCTATTAGATTGACGACGTCGTTTTGTGACCTTAAACGCTGTTTATGTTACAAAAACAAGTTTAGGGTACGTTCTTCACTACCCAGATGTAATCTTAGAGGCTTCGAGCATTTTGGTCAGATATATGACTAAATATAAATATTTCAGCTAATTACAGAATTTCTGGATAATGATTTTTTCAAATAAGTACTATCTGTTTTAGACGGCACTTTCATCTGAGGTTGAGAAGCTGGGTGACCTGGCGAGCATGGAAGGTAATGATACTCTGGAGAGATTGAAGCAACTTGCGCAGGAGCACTTACCTGTAGCTTGGCCAGATTGGCCGATAGCCAAATAACTTGCAACAGGAGATCTAGGATTAGAACCCCAAACAATGAATAAACTAAGGTTTGCTCTACCAACTACTAGTATAGCAAGAGCATTTAATCCTGAGTGTACAACACTGGCGGGTAAAGCTCATAAAAAATACAAGGAAAATATGCTGAATTGGCCCTTCTGCTGTGGCTTTATTATTAGACCTCCAGAATTGGCAATGAAGATAGGAGGATCATCGCTACATCATAAGTTGGTTCTTCAGGTGGTCATGCCCTTTAAACATCTGTTCTTAACAAGAAAAGAGATGTATCGGCAACTTGAAAGATTGAACGATGAAATGGATTCGTCGTCTTCTTGTTCAGTAGAAAACGAGTCTAACGAGGCAGTGGAGTCCGTAGAAACGGAAACAGAAGAATGTCAGAATAGAAAAGGTAACATGAACCTCCGAAAGATGGAAGAAAATAATGGAAATGCGACAAACTAGAATGGAAAATATGTAAGTGAAACTATTGAAGCATCATAGAGCAATGTCAGCAAAAACTAGTGTAGAATGATTGTCAGAGAAAGACAGTCATAAGGACTCGGAAAGAGGAGCTTCACCCGGACCATCGGCCAAGTGTGTGACTGCTCAATTCTCCTGGGAGAATAACAATGATTTTTCTTTTGAGTGAATTATAAAAGAGCATAAACCGTTAATTAAGGACCCTTCACCAGAAATTAAGAAGCATGTCATTAAGTGCCAAAAATTCGGTGAATCTTCGAGGAATAAAATCAGATATAGTGTGGCGCAGAAAAAATTTTAAGCGGGAAGTATATTTGCTCAGTTGCAAATAGGCTCACAACTCATATTACTTCAAAAGGAAGCTCATCAACAACTTTATCCAAAATGGATGCTACCCATGAAATTTTTTGCCATGGCTTGTTACTGCAGAGAAAAGCGATCCAAAATAATATTTCGGAGCTGGCGGCAAAACATCCGAACTTGGCGAATGATGTGAAAAAAAAATTTGAAGATACAAGCTCAGAATTTAGGATTGTATCAGATGATTTGCTACAATATGTTTGTGGCAAAAGAGCAGAAATTATAGAAAGTCGCAGGAGATTGTATGAAACACCAAATGAAAATGCTGCTAAAATATTGAGAGACATTCCGCCTTCAGGGACCTTTTTGTTTGATGAGAATCAAATTAAGGAGTTGTATACTCATCAAGACAATACTACCCAATTAATCTTTAGGTACAATGAGAGACCACCATCATCTTACGATTATGATAACAGATCGAGTATTTACCGAGTTCAAAAGAGATATTTTGAAAGCACCTCAGAGGGAAATCTTCAAGATGATACTTGGCAAAGAAAAAGAACATTCAAACCGAAGTCTAAATATGACAAGAAACAGAATATTCCTAGCACATACACGAACAGTGGAATGTCTAATACCGACAAAAAAGCTAGAAATCATCGTGTTTGACAATTTTGTCCAGAAGGAGGCTTTTGCAGGGGGGGGCAGGTGCAAAATTTCGTAGCAGAGTGGGCAGGCGGGTGCCCCAGAAATGTTATTGAAGATTATAAATGGTTACACCATCTTCTTCAAAGGAAGACATCCTCTAAGTTTCTTCAAAATGAAAAACGTCCGGAAAATGAGTTCAAAAATATCTCTCCAACTAAGAAAGGAGTTGAAGAAAATGAAAAGATAGAGCATCATCAAGGAAAAATCCGCGGGATTTATCTCAACAATGTTTACAGTACCAAAGCCAGACGGCTCCTGTCAACCAATTCTTAACTTAAAAAGACTGAACGAGTTCAAACAAAGAATTTTCGACTAGTGAATCATTACAAGGTGTCAGAATTTTTATAAAAAGAGGACTTTCTCATAAAAATGGACTTATCCCAGGCATATATCCACATTCCAATAAAGAAAAGCTACCAGAAGTTCCTTGCTTCGCTTACAAAAAGAGTATACGATATGATGTCTCCCGTTTGGACTTTCGACTGCTCTTTAAACGTTCTCCAGTTTAACAAATTGAATAGCAGAGTACCTACCTGAGAAAGAAAGGAATTAGGATTCTTGTATATTTAGACGCGATTTTCTCCCAGCAAATCAATCCCCCAACAATTTACAAGCATAAAAAAAGAAATCAATAGATTTTTAACCTCATCTAGGTTGGAACGTAAACTTTAAGAAATCTTACATCATACCAAGTCAGGAAATAGAATTTTTGGGAATAATTTGGAATCCAACTCAAAATCTAAAATGTATTTCAGAGAGTAAAAGAAAGAAGCTACAGTATACTACAGAGAACCTTACAAAGTCAATGAGATGGAATTTCATCCAGGCAAAATCACTTCTAGGAGAGCTAAGCTTTGTCCTTCGTGGTTCCTCTGGGACGATTGCGCTCTCGGATAATGCAAAGAGAAAGTCATTGCTTACCCGCACGAACTCCAGAGAAGCAGTCGAAAATAAAAAAAAACTTCATTGGCCAAGAACTAGAATGGTAGAAAACAGCGATGACTCAGCACTCTCGAATTTTTCTATCGAATCCAAAAATTTTCATCATCTTTCATCATCACAGATGTGTTAAACGAAGGCTGGGGGTCCCAACTGGAGAATGTTTACCAAAAAGGATTCTGGTTAAGAAATCAAAGAAAACGGCACATAAATCCGAAAGAAATGTTTGTAGTTCGGAAAGCAATACAAGAAAATATCAAAATGTGAGAGGACAAGTCTGTAAAATCAGACAAGAGTGTAGTATATATAAACAAGGAAGGGGAAACAAAATCCATCACTATACTACGGGAAAACAAGAGATTATTACTGTTGACTCATCAAAACAATGTAACTCCGAAAGCAAAATATATTGCAGCCACCACCACTAGTAAAAGAAATGTTTTTGGAGGCGTGGAAGGTTCAGGGTGACACACTCAAGTAATGGGTTGATATTCGAAAGATGTGAAGCTAATACAGTCTGCCTGGAGAGAGTCAACATTAAAAACTTATCAAGCTCCGTGAAAACGATGGGTACAATGGGCAAAATCAAAGAATATATCTGTTCATAATCCGGAAGCACAAGATGTAGCAGTGTTTTTAAGCTATTTGCATTAGCATTGGAATCTGAAAATGTCATATAGCACTATTTTGGTACACAAATCTGTGATAGTAACTTTTGTTAACCCACTAAAAGGAGAATATATAAGCTCACATTCTGTAGTCAAGCATATGTTGAAGGCAATAAGTATTCAAAATCCTGTACATAGAAAATCGATATGGGATTTCCAACTACTAATACAATGGTTAAGTGAAAATACTCCTGATCTATCCAGTATTTTTCAAGTATCTCGGCATTTACCCACTCTTTCATTATTATGCTCTAGTAGATGAGTGCTTGATCTCACCCTATTGGACATACGAGAAGATCACCTCCAAGTAAACCCGCAGTACCTGATATTTTGGCCAAAATTTAGTTCAAAGACTGATAGAAATAACTATCAGCAATTCCTAAACACGGTATCAAAAGCCTGGATGTATGTAAATGGACAAAGAATCTAATTCAGCTTCCTGGAATAAGAAAAGGGTCAATGAAGTATATTACTTCACTCTTTATTACAGCAAGAGGTAAGGTGAAATCCGCATCAAGATCGGTACCTAATAGCAGGCTAGATCCGATCCTGTTTAACGGAGGCTGGTATTCAGTCATCGGCAGGTAGTTGTAGAGCAGCTGTAGCATCTGCAAGATTTGCAGACAAACTCCCTTTTGACGTCATTTTAAAGCAGGCAAATTGGACGAGCGTTAGAACCTTATTGCAAGAATATAGTGAAATCTACACGGGAAGAGAAAATAAATCATCAAAACTGTTTTGAGGCTCCGTCAAGTTAGCCCCCCACATTCGAATTTTCTAACAAAATTGAAACCACTTACTGTGCTCGAAGTGCGCTTTACTGTGCCGATGATATTTTAAACTGTGCCGTTTTGATACCAAAGTTATAAGAAAAACAAGATGAGTGGCTAACTTGACGCGCAGCCCCCCCAAGATTTTGGAAATAAGGTAAAGCAAAAATTGATTCTTATGCAATCTGAAGTATGCTGATCTGTGCTGTATCAGGTTTTTCTCAAAATTTTCATATTCGGTCATTTTCCGACAAAATCCTACTAGAGGGGCTAACTTGACGCTCAGCTCCCCCAAAATTCTGTAAATCAGATTAAACAAAAATGGATTCTTATCCAATGTGCACCAGAGCAAATATTTGATCGCTCAGAGTAGGTGTGAGTGAGTGGCACACTAATCTTGCGAACGGATTCCGCTATCAAAGTGTATCCGACAAAAAATTGAAATTCAGTCTAGTCTGCACTCCAGATTGAATAGGAATCCATTTTTGTTTGATTCGATTTTCAAAATTTTGAGAGGGCTGAGCATCAAGTTAGCACCCCTAGTAGGCTTTTGTCGGAAAATGACCGAATATGGAAATTTTGAGAAAAACCTGTTACAGTATAGTTCAGCTTACTTCAGATTGAATAGGAATCCATATTTGTTTGATCTGATTTCCAAAATTTTTGGGGGGGGCTGAGCGTCATATTAGCCCTATCAGAAGGATTTTGTCGGAAAATTACCGAACATGGAAATTTTTAGAAAAACCTGATACAGCACAGTTCTGCAAACTTCAGATTGCATAGGAATATATTTTTGTCTGATCTGATTTCCAAAATTTTGGGGGGGCTGAGGGTTAAATTAGTCCCTCATGTTTTTCCTATAACTTTGGTATCGGAACGGCACAGTTCAAAATATAATCGGCACAGTAAAGCACATTTCGAGCACAGTAAGTGGTTTCAATATTACTATAGCAGTAGTAAAAAAAATTCTATATATTCCTCGGTAGAGAAAGTCATTACATACCTTACGCATTATAATAATCAACTTCTCTACCTAGGTACATAATATACTATTATCCCTTCGGAGGAAAAACTTTTCCATTTGGTTGACGTATTATTATCCATCCCAGTTCCATTACAATTCCAGCCAGTGGATGGGAAAGTTACCTATAGCCAACGATAGGTTATGTGAGTTTCTACGTGAGTTGAAGATGCTGAAATGGATTTTCCTCGAAGAGCTATGGCGTTTTCTGGTGAGAACTATCACGAAATTCTAGATAAACAGATAGATGAGAGTATATAGAATTAGAACTTAATAAAGAAATAAAAAGACGAGACGTCAAGTAATACAATACCGAAGATCTTCAGCCGAAAAATGGAAGTTCAAAGGAAACAAATACAGTTTCAATGACTAGCCTTTGTCCTTAAATTCTTCGAAAATAAATTAAATTCCAAAAAAAATATCCAAAAATACCTCTGACGTCATTCATCCGAGCAGATAACCATCATTATCTCAAGCCGAGGTGAACCACCTAGTTAAACCGATAAACATTATCACGCGCTGAAAGAATAATCTAAAATATTCTACGAAGACCTGCAAATCAAAAAAATTATCAGTAGAGGACTGGTTGAAGCCAGTTCTGTAATTCAATTTGAAACAACTAATTAAGTGAAGATGATAATGAAGCCAGGGAGGCGGGACTCTAATAAGCAGTAGCTAAGTTTGAATAGACATAAGATCAGTCTTAAAGGTATAGTCCGAAAAGAACAAAAACCAGTCAGATTGTCAGCGTCTGAACAATACAGCCAAATGACTTGAGTAAAGAACTAAAGAAGTTCTATGTTACCTGATACGATCCTCGAAAATAAAGTTTGTGAGTGAAAATATTGGCAGATGTGGAACTTTGAAGACGCTGCTAAAATTCATTGAAAGTTGATTGATCAGAGAACTGTACGGAAACTCAACAGCAACTGAACAAAAATAAATATAAATAGAGAATTTCTCTGCCCTCAGATCTATCGATGACAGTGTTTTTTCCCTTGACAATATGGAAAAGATAGAAGAAATGATATCAGATTCAAGTAAAGCTACAAAGAAAGTTGAATCAAAGACAAACCTTGGCAGAACAATAAAAATGATGAACGCAGCTGTAGTTGAAATATAAATAACCAACAGAAGAATAGATGTACCTACCTGAGTGAAATATTTCTGGTTTTAAAAATAAATGCATCTTTTTTGAGTCACGGCAAAAGCTGATGTAGGAATTGAGTCCTCTACAAGTTATGTGTGAACAGTCTAAGGTTTGAACATTTCAATAAATGTGTCAATCGACAACTTATGATTTTGAGGAATTTTGTGGAACAGTGCATCTTTGTGATTTTGTATTTTATCCTACAAGACTTTTTAATCACTAAAAACTTGCTGCAGTATAATTAATTTCCCGTTGCCGATGAAAAACAATAAAACCTGAACTTTTAATTTAACAGAGGTTACACTGCATTGTTCACAAAGCCATTCCCGAGAACACGACAACAATATAACAGTCATCGAGCTCAAGAATAGAGACACTCTAAACTTGTTTAAAAGAGCGACCCCTTTAATGTCAGACTCTTCAGAATTACTTTAATGAGGGCGCCAAACAGAGGGTAGTTTACAATTTAATCCTGCTTTACTCGAGCGAATGGATGACAAAAAAAAAAAGTAAAATGCTCTTTGTACTTACGCCATTTGAATTCCTCCAACCACAATCACAAGCAGTTAAGTTTGGATGATTTATTGAAGGATGGTTAGCGAAATTAATTGATTGGCTGTCGTCATTATGGTCATTACTTGATGCTACTGAGACAATCGTGAAGCCTAACAGCATTAACCTTTTGAATACTAGAAAAAAAATTAGTTTAAACCAGCTACTCAGTATTTTTCCAAAATATATTTCATTCTCTTACCCATCTTGTATTAATAATAATTGTTTATTGTCGAGTACTGATATTTGTTTGACTGAATAAATCATCAGATTACAATAAAGTATTGATAATAATTTTCAAATTTCGCAAAGTACTTTAGAAATGTTTTATTATTAAGTGTTGTTCAGACACTTACCGATATATTATTATTATTTTAATAGCCTATTGTTCACAGGATTTGTTCTACTAAAATTTTAATATGGCTGCTTATTTTATCAAAAACATCAAAATGTAAGGGGTTCCAGATTGAATGCGTAAGATGTCTGATGATAACCCACTTTCATTATTTCTCAGGTCCTTCTCAAAATCTGTGTATTTACTATTTTGAGGTCACTAATAAAATAACAATACCTAAACTTCTGTACCATCATGTGATGTGATGATTTCTTCCAAAATCGCGGAACTGAAAAAGTATGATCGATACGAACTTGACGATTAGTATATTGATGTATTTCTCGAAAGTTTCAGATCCTGAATGCGGAGAACTTCTCATAAGAATTCTCAAAATACATACATACATTCCTTCTGTCTGTTGAGCGCTGATGACTCTATTCAGACATGAAGTGATACCGCAAGGGGTAATTGAGTTTGTAGTGAGTACAACAATGGTTTGTTAGATACTGATTTTATTGAAATAATTTATATTAAAATAATCAATACAAAAACCCTATATACATTTATTACAATTAGTATTTTTCTGCTTAGTCCGCATTTGCTGGAGGTTAACGACTGGCCTGTTTTCAGTCGGTACTCCGATACTGCTAACTCAACAGATTCCATCGCGTAGGAGAATCGTAGCTTGGATTATATTGAATATTCCCAAAAAACAGGACTTTTATGTCTAATTATATTATTGATTACACACCCTCCAATAGAAACGTTTAGCAGTTTCAAGGATCAGGATATTTATATTTATTGCCAAGCTTTTTCGTTGCACAAAGTAAAGAATACAACTTTGCAGGTACCTTTTTTCCCTTTCAATCATTCCACTCTTTTATTTGCTGTTTTTGTTTTTAATTTATTCCCAGAAACCGTTTAACTTCAAATGAGCAGCGTTTCTACTCAGTTTTAAATTAAATCCGCTTCAAGCGCCCGGTGAAAAAGTTTTATGCATCACGAGATACCTATGTTTGTTTTTTTTTGCAAATCTTCTTCTTGTTGCTAGTAGCAAATGAAAACAGCCGAGACGAAATTGGCGTATTTTAATTTCAGAAATTAAAAAACTTTCATGGAGGTCCAATCTCAAGTTTCCTTGATAAATCGACGAAAACGGAGAAGTTTTCCTTTTCGCGTTTGTATAATGAAATTTGCACCGAGTTTTCTAGCGCCTTAAAAACTACTTTAATCTTTCGTTTTGATTTCATATAGTACAGATTCATTTAAAAAGATCTTGTCTTGTCTTTATTATGTTAAGTTTCTTTTATTTAGGGAGAAGAAACAAGTCTCTTGGCATTAATGTATTCTGTTGTTATGTTTAATAAACAATTATACATCAAAACTATTAGTACTAAAACCCGATTAACAATAATCAAGTCTCGATTGACATCAAAGTTAAGTTAAAAAGTCCCGATTGACAATCTTGTTCGGAGGTTGATTCAAGAATGATCTATGAGGGAAAAGCTAGAAAATATAATATAATATGACATATGTGTTTCGTTTTGCATATATTTTTTCCACAACTCGGAATTTTTGAATGGGAAAGGAAATATTGGAAAACGAAATGAGAGTAAAAAATCATCGTATAACTTTACGGTGCCTAGAGATTGGTAAAAGATGCCTGCTTGGTTATTGATTGGTGTTATCTGATAAGCCTGCTCCTCCAGGTGCGATAGGTGGGCGCGACACATCGCAATTATGAGAAGAGCACATAGCGTGTAATGTATCAGCTTTATTTTTGTCTGAAACTGATACTAAACTAGCTTATTTTTGATTTTTAAGAGAACCGAATTATTCGAGTTTATTTTTGCTATTCTATATGGGTCCCTTATAATTCGGGGAAAGTTTTTTACTTATTCCGGGCTTTGAAGCTTTATCCAGAACATAAACTTGGTCGCCTACAGAAAAATTAAAATCATCGATTTCTTTTATCCTAGTAGGTATTGGATTTCATTTTAGAATTGATAATGTTTTCTCTAGCAATTTGAAACGATTTATTTAATCCCAACTGAAGTTGTTTGTTATAAGTATCAATTCTGGGTCTTTTGTTATTATATTGAGTAATGTTGCCTTATGGCCAAACACTAACTCATGTGGTGTAAATTGGGTAGTTGAATGAACTAGAGTGTTATACGGAAACATGGCAGTTTGAATAAATTCGTCCCAATTGTCTTGACTTTTATTGGTAAAATGCTTTAAATAATCTTTTAGCGTAGAATGAGAGCGTTCTAAGGCCCCATTACTTTGAGTTCTATAAACTGACGTGGTAATGTGTTTTATTTTAAAAAGACTATTAACTTCTAGTAGATTGGATGTGAAATCGGTTCCATTGTCTGTCACAATAGTTTTTGGTAATTCAAAAATTAGAATAAATTCACAGAATTTGTCAGCGATAGTTTTTGACTCATGATTGGGAATTGCGAATGCGTATGAAAATTTGGAAAGGTCGTCCTGCAGTGTTGAAATAAATTTATTTCCTGCCTCTGTTACTGGTAGAGGTCCTACAATATCTAAGAAGATTTTCTCAAATGGAAAATTAGACGTAGAAGTAACTTGCATTGGAGCTTTAATTGGATGACGATTTACTTTATTTTCTTGACACTTGATACAACCTTTTATGAACGTTTTGATATTTTTTTCATACTGGGCCATTTATAAACCTTAATCCGTCGGTAAGTTTTGCTAAATCCGGGATGACCAGCAAGAGAGGTAGAATGATTTTTCTTTAAAATTTTGGCAATTTCTTTCTGAAATTATGTTACCTAAATAAATTACTTCTTTTCTCATTAACTCACATTTATCAGGTTGTAATTTTAAATTATTTTGAAACAATCTCTGAAATATTAGTTTTAATTTTTGGTCATGATCGGAAACATTTGATCCAACGAAAAATTATATCATCGAGGTAGACAAAGTATTAATTTCCCTGAAGTCCGGTTGAAACCGTATTCATCAATCTTTGAAATACTGCTGGTGCACATTTAAGACCAAATGGCATTCGTAAAAACTGATAATGTGCATCAGGCGTAGAAAAAGCAGTTTTTGGTGCATCTTCCGCATCCATTTTGATTCGGTGGAATCCTGAGGCTAGATCCAGAACTGTGAAATAAGATGCATGTCTTAACTGGTCTAATATTTCATCAATATTTGGAATTGGCTGAACTTGGCCTACAGTGACATCATTAAAGCGTCTGGAATCGACTAAAATCCGCCATTTGCGATGTTCTGATGAATCATTTTTTTTAGGTACCACCCACAGTGGTGCATTATATGCAGATGGTTGAATTATCTTCTGTTTCAACATTTTTTCAATTTAGTTTAAAATTTCAGATGACATTTTGGTATGAATTGGAGTATCAGCAGTCGTATTTATTTTACATTGAATCGCTTGAGTGAATGTCAAGTCATCATTTGGCAAATAAAAAATATGATTGAATTCTCGGCAAAAATTCAAAACTGACAATTTTTCTTCAGAATTGAGATGTCCTAATCTTAAATTATTTTCTAACGTTGAAATGCGATCAACCCAGTGAGAATAAGACGTTTTTGATTGCGTAGTATTAAAACTGAAACAGTGATATTAGTGAAATTTCTCGAGTTCCACATTGATAAAGTTTACTTGCACACTTTTTCTAAAGTGTTTACGATAGTAGTTACAGCAGTATTATTTTTATCAACTTTTAAAATAGCTTCTGCCAAGTAGACTCCTTCTAAGATTGCTGCATCGCAACAGTAGCCTTCTTTTACTTGGTTACCGTTGATAACATTTATGCGTATTATGGTTTTAAATCGCGGCTGTACGATACAATTACAGTTTAAATTATCATGGCTTGAGTCAAGGTGGAATGCAACGTGCTGAGGACTGGATGGTCACAGGAACAAGTGTGATCTCGAACGTTCCCCCGGGGGTACCAGGCACCCCCTGTATTTCATGCCTTACCCAACCATGCGGGGCTCTGGCTGGGTTGACCTTTATTTCCCTAGGTTCTCGTGGGATCAAGTATGAGTACAAACCAAGTTCAAACAAACAAGGCGTGGGCAAAGGCAAACTAAATGCCAAGTCCAGCTACAGAGCAAACTCCCTGGAGGAGATCGATAACCTGCCAGAGGAAGAGGTCCATAAGGCCAGTTTGTCAGGTTCATCAAGAGCAAAACTGCGTAGCCTGGTCACGAAAGACAAAAGCTACACTGAAGCTAAGAGCGCCGTGATCAGGAAAAACTTCCTGAACCACAGGGAGGGAAAGGGCGAAGCAAAGGTGGCGACCAAGAGCGCTGAAGCCAGCATTGCCCAAAAAAGAACCAGGTCGGAGGACAGCACACTGCAAAAGAGGCAAACTAAAAAGCCAAGAGGTGGGCAGATCCCGGCTACCACGGCAAATAAGTCGTACAAGGATACGGAGAGCAGTGAGAAAGTTGCGGTCGTCAATGTAGGCTACCCGGAAGCCCAGATGACGACCGAGAGGATGGAACAAGTCCAAGCAGCGATCTCGGCGGCGCACGAGAATATCCCTGAAAATGGCCCACAAGTGCGTTTTGAAAAATGCAGCCACAGGCCGGGATATTTTGAGGTCACCTGCGTAGACAAGACCAGCGCAGTGTGGCTAATGGAAACGGTGCCAACACTCAAGCCCTGAGAGGGCGCAGTGTATTAAGGCATCAACAGGCGCCAAAGTCAGAGACCTGCACAGTCTTCATCCCGGACGAGAAGGGAGAAAGACTGTCCGTCGAGAGAATCCTCAAGAAGCTCTCAGTGGGAAACAGAGGCCTGAACACAAGCCTGTGGAAGTTCTGGGGCGTAGTCTCAATGAACAAGGGCCAACTCTGGATCCTCTCTATGGATAAGCAGTCGCTAGAGGGCCTGAAGAACTGAACATGAACCCCTACTTCGGATTTGGGAAACTGAAGTTCAGGAGGAAGCGGGAAAAGAAGCCCGAGAACAAAGTCCAGCATACCACCGTAGGTCCTAAGGCCAGCACATCAAAGGCCGACGCTACGGTACCGGAGGAGAAGGAACAGGAGGGCGAAACTGAGGAACCCTTCAACCAAAGCGGCACTAGTCCGCTGGAAAGATATACAGTCTACCAGCAAAAGGACATTGCCATGGAGGAAGAGGTTCTACTAAGGAGCCGCTCTCCCAGCCCTACTTCGTAGAAATGGATACCATAAAGGTTATCCAAATCAACCTTCACCATGCCAAGGCTGCCTCAGCCGTGCGCTGTAGAAGGTTACAAAAAGAAGGCCTTGACGTGGCCTTCATACAGGAACCGTGGCTAAACAACGGAGCCATCAGAGGACTAAACACGCCCGGGGGTAAGTTACTGTTTCATACAGAGACTAACAATCCAAGAGCCTGTATTCTATACAACAGTAATAAAATTAGCTGCTCACTAATACCGGAGCATCTATGCTCCGGTGATGTTGTTACAGTACAGGCAACCGCAAAAACAGTAGAGGAAGGGCCCACGTCCTGGGGCATCTGCTGCTTCTACTTCCCTGGAGAAGAGAGGACCTATCCTCTATATCTGATGGAGGATGCCATAACCCATTGCAGGGGAGGGGGACGACAACTAATTGTTGGAGGTGATATAAACTCCCACCACACAATCTAGGGAACTACCAACACAAATGGCAGAGGTGAGTCCTTGCATGAATTCCTAATGGGTGAAGGGTTAGATATAGCTAATATAGGCGTAGAACCCACTTTCGTAACAGTCAGGCGTGAAGTCCCTGATCTCACTTTTTGTACTCACGATGTCAACGACAACATAACGAACTGGCATGTCTCCGACGAACCATCATGTTCAGACCATAGCCACGTAAGGTTCGATATCACAACTTCGAAAAGGACATACTAATGCCACACCTTTGCAAAACTTTCACAGCATGCATTGCTTGGGGCCACATATCAGAAGTCTGGCAAAAGGCGGCAGTCGCCTACCTGCCAAAAATTGCTAGGTGCCTAGACAAAACGCCCAAGTCATACAGACCTATATCTATCCTCGTTCCTGTACAAAACGCTGGAAAAAATTGCGGATAGATACATCAGAGACCGCACACTGACACTCCATCCTGTAAGCTATCGCCAGTATGCCTACCAACCAGGAAAGTCTACGTACTCCGCACTGGATGACCTAAACAGACTCCTGACAAAGTTAATTGATGACAAAGAGGTAGCGCTAGGCACGTTTCTAGATATAGAGAGAGCGTTTAACAACGTTCCAGCCACATCACTAATGAACGCTCTCAAGCGTTGGAATATCCCGCATACCTTTTGCAACTGGATAGAAGCCAGTCTAAGAAACAGGGTAATTACATCTACTCTGGGTGAGGACACAGTAGAAGCAATAGTGGGAACAGGCTGCCCACAGGGAGGCGTTTTATCGCCATTGTATTGGGCGGTCCTGGTCGACGATCTCTTGGCAAAAACTACTGCTTTGGCTACGCGGATAATATAGTCCTGATAGTCAGAGGCAGGCATCTAGGAAATGTCTCAGGAACAACTCAGAAAGCACTGAACATAGTAGGTAACTGGTGTAGGGATGAAGGCTTGTCGGTTAATCCGCCAAAAACCGTAATTGTCTCGTTCACAAAGAATGGAAAGAGGTCAAATATCTAGGAGTTATTTTTGACCAAAAGATGACCTGAGATCCACACCTCAATAAAGTTGTGCAGAAGGCCAAAATTTCCCTGGGGAAATGCAGAAGGCTTTGTGGAAAAAAGCTGGGAACTTAATCCAAAAATGAATCTATGGATATACAAAATGGTGATAAGACCAATGATAACCTACGGTTCGGTTGCCTGGGGTAAAAAGGTCACACAGACCGTAGCAATCAGACAGTTTCAAAGTGTACAAAGGCTAGCCTGCGTATGCATCACGGGTGCCATGAAAACAGCCCCAACCGCAGCCTTGGAGGTGCTGCTAAACTTGCCGCTACTACATATCGACATACAGGGTGAAGTAAAGGCGGTACTATACAGACTGAAGCAAGGCCAGGGTCCAATTATAAAACACCAAAGGCCCATGTGCTGGAAAATAGAGGAGGATCCAGAGGTCAACTCATTGTTCGGGATGCCCTCAGACCAAACAATACCTATTTTCATCTTCAATGGGCACTTCCGGGTTGCCATACCAGAGAGGAAAGACTGAGAGAAAGGTCCTCCAATTAAAGCAGACCACATCTGGTACACCGACGGCTCCAAGACCTGAAAGGGGGTTGGAGCCGGCATCTACGGGGACAAACCTAGGGTGGAAATATCCACAAGTCTCGGACAGTACGCCATGGTGTTTCAGGCAGAAGTCGCTGCAATAATGCATTGTGCCATACTGATAAATGAAAGGAAAGTTGGGAGTAAAAACATCGTTATTTACTCGGACAGCCGGCGACTCTAAAGGCAATAAGCTCCCAAAAGCTCAGCTCCAAGCTGGTTGAGAACTGTATAGGTGCCCTAGAGAAGGTGAGGTGGTCCTGTCCAACAAACCAACCATAGCCTGGGTACCAGGCTATGAGGGCCACCCAGGAAATTAAAAGGCTGATGACTTGGCCAAAGGAGGCTCGGCCACTGAGATGATAGGCCCAGAACAATTCTGTGGAATTTCTGCAGGCAGTTTTAAAACATCTATTAAGAACTGAATCATTAGACAGAGAGTTCTAGAGCTAGTGGCAGCGAACACCAGGACAACGACAGGCAAATCAGTTTATCAAATCCTACTCGCCTAAGTTCACAGCGGACCTACTAAGCCATAGCCGCAAGATTGTTGTAGGCCAATTAACAAGGCATTTTAAACTCAACAAGCATCTGGAAAGAATGACCTGGCAGAGGATAGCATGTGTAGGTTCTGCCAGGAAGCGGAAGAAACTGCCGTACATGTATGTTGTCATTGCGAAGCGCTATGCAGGCTTAGATTTGCGAGGCTTGGAGAGGAGAAGTCCAATCCCGCAAGCTACATGGGGTAGCCAGTATCTCTGGAGTCTAATAAAAAGGACAGGTCTAGAGAACGCACTCTAAGGATACCACAATAAATCTGACAAGGTTGCAGTGAAAGAGGACGCCTCTGCGCCATCTCCATTCAAACAAAACTACAATCTACAAATCTCCCTTTTTTATTTATATTAATTATTAATAAATCCTGATTTGTTATTGTTTTAAATTGGACTTTTTATCCCTTTCTATCCCGGCCTGCGTTGCAGGTCAGTGGCGCAACAGTAGCAGCAAAGCAGTGGCGTAACATAACATATTCTAGGAAAAACAAATTCAAAAACAATTTAAAATATTCAAAATTAATTTATTCAAATTGTTTTCTTCTACATTCTACATTACTATAAACACAAAGGATGCTTAAACATCCACGTAATATAATATGAACAATCTTTTATGTTTGTTGGGGTAGCGGCCATGATGAAGAGCAAAAATCTTAGAATGACCCCCTTTTTTTTACTGGACCAAGCTTTATAAAGGCGACTACATCATTTGATGAAGTTAACAAATGTGAAAAGAATATAGATATTATGTTAGAATTATAACTCACTTTGCATTTAAGGAGTAATTGTACAACATCTATAATTGTTACTTATGATAGCCTTCATTTTCAAATTGTAGCTTCTAAAAACAAAATCAAGATTTCCGAAAGCTTGGTCCAAGAGTCATGTTTCGATTTATCCCCCAACAAAATTAGAAGATTGTTTGTTAACTAGTCGGCCAAGACTACCTTCTTACATAATATAATATAATATGTACATATATCACAAATTTGACTAGATGAAAAAGCCAAAGTTCGTGGAAGGGAAACTTCAACAAAATATTCTAGTTTGAATTAACCATTTAAACTTTGGTAAGCCTTAAACATGTATAAAAAGCTTCACTAAATTTTTGAATACCTGAAGTTGGCTTACCAAAGTTAAGAAAAAGTCGCTAGAACATCTTTCGTCTAAAATCTAAATATAAGGTAACTTTTCCAGGATATAAATTAATTAATATAAAACGTCACACAAAAGGAAAGTTTACAAATAAAGCATTGCTTTGAAAATAAGTGCAGTAAACTTCCTTATTATAAGTCATCAGTACTTAAAATTAAGTACAAAATATTAGTAAGTAAAAAACTAACACTATACAATATAAACTCGGCCACCTTGTTGTATGTAAATTTACAGCAAGAGTACTTAAATAAGTAATACTAAAATTGCAATAATTAAAAAATAGTTAAGGATTCCAAATTCCTTTCCTAATTATTGCAAAAAATTCTCACAATCAATTCAAGGAGATCTAGTGACAATACATCAATCACAGCAATCTCAAATGGTGAGATCTTCCCAGTCTTCTGTTTGTCTTGGCGATAACGTAACATTGACTTTTGTGATCCTGGATAGTTGATCGTGGATCCGTGGTGCCAACGGGTTCCGTTCCAAGTCTATACTTTCAAGCGCTGGGGCTTCTGATAGATATTCGATTTCTACATCTGAATAAGAGTTAGTTAGCTTTTTTTCAATATTTAACAATTTGTTTTCCATTTCTTACCGATTATATTATTATCACTAGCTTTAAGGGACCTCAATTTAGGCATTCTCAATGTACAAGGTGGCAACGAAGTGAAACTGTTCTGAGCAATATCCAGTCTTTCCAAGTTTTTCATTTCGGCACATTCGTCCGGGAGATTAGCCATGCGGTTGCGGGCCAAATTCAAGTCTAATAAAATTGGAAATCAATTAATATGGTGGTTCAAAATTTTAGCAATTAAGTTATTACCTGTAAGAAGATTAAATTTAATTGCAAATTTAGGAGGAATTTTCGTAATTACATTTTCGCTAAGATCACAGGTTTTGAGTTCGGTGTGCCTCATCAAATGATAAACGGCGTCTGGAACTTGCATTAACTGGCAATTTGAGAGATCTGGAATAAAATAATAAACTAATAAGTGAATTTATGAATAATTTATTATTTTACTTTTGCAACCTAATGTTCAAATACACAAATATTATATAACATAATTTCATCGTTTGGCTAATGCAATACCAATTAAAAATTCAGGCGCTTATTCTGGGTTAGTGCAACAAAAGTGATTTGGTGCGCATCTAGTTTCTGGGTTCTCACAATGTCCGTTTTGTAATTTACGCGTAATTTAATTTGCGATTTATCGTACATGCACTTGACATTTTACCAATCAATTTCAACAATAAATTTCTTCTCTAAATAATTGTTTATCCGTATATTATTGTGCGTGGAATAATACGACTATATTATGTATACAGAGTGGTTAAGCTTCTATACAAAAATCTCATTTCTCATTTTCTGGTCCTCATTATTTATGCGCAGATCTTCTCTGTTTTCTTGGATATGCCTTCCCCTTGATCTTTTACTCAGACAGATACGATTTCTATTTTAAAAGGCTGGTCTATTTCTCACTGTACAGAGTGGCCCAAATTCGAGCCTCATCATTGGGATCTCGGAAACCCGAAGCGATACGGGGTCGGTTAAATTATGGCAAAGTTGCGCAATTTTATGACCAATAGAATGCCGTTTTGAAACTAGGAAGATTCCGAATACTTCCAGAGATATTCGGAATAAACCGAAATTTTGTAAAATCGTTTTTATTTTTTCCTGGGCTTATTTGAAGAGCAATTTTAAAATAAATGTCACTTTATCATTGTCACTTTTTCCCCTTTAAAAGATGGTGCTACTAAATTTAAAATTCGACGTTTCGTCTTCAGGCGGCCATCCTCAACTTCCTTTTTTTAAATACGGACCTGGATTTTTTATTTGCGATTTTGTCATCTTTGGACATAATAAAACCGATACTTTTATAATTTTTCAATAACACAGTAAAAAAAGCAGGTCCGTATTTAAAAAAAAATAAATTGATGATGTTTTCAGAGGAACGAAACGTTGGATTTTAAACTTAATACCGCCATCTTGTAGAGAAGAAAAAGTGACAACGGGAATGTAAAATTAGTTTTCACAATCTTTTTAAATAAAATCAGGAAAAAATGAAAACTATACGGAAAAAACATGAATTTCTCGTTTTTCTTAATTTTTTTCTGATTCCATTTAAAAAGATTTTGAAAAACCAATTTCACATTCCCATTGTCACTTTTTCTTCTTTACAAGATGGCGGTATCAAATTTAAAATCCATCGTTTCGTTCCTCTGGAATCATCATCAATTTATTTTTTTTGAATACGGACCTGCTTTTGTTACCAGGTTATTGGAAAATTATAAACAGTATCGGTTTTAGGATGCCCAAAGATGACAAAATCGCAAATAAAAAATCTAGGTCCGTATTTAAAAAACGTAAGTTGAGGATGACCGCCTGAAGACGGAACGTCCAATTTTAAATTTAGTAGCACCATCTTCTTAAGGGAAGAAAGTGACAATGATGAAGTGACATTTATTTTAAAATTGCTTTTCAAATAAGCCCGGGAAAAAATAGAAACGATTTTACAAAATTTCGGTTTTTTTCCGAATATCACCGGAAGTATTTTCTAGTTTCAAAACGGCATTCTATTGGTCATAAAATTGCGCAACTTTGCCATAATTTAACCGACCCCGTATCTCTTCGGGTTACCGAGATCCCAATGATGACTGATGAGGCTCGAATTTGGGTCACCCTGTATACTGTGTAGTTCCATTTCAGCTCAGTCAAGAAAGTGCAAAACTGTATTGTGGCGCTTTCGCCAGTGTGTACAGAATTCAAACCTGCAAAGCTAGAAAATATTGCCTTGTTCAAGAATGGAGATTATCGCGTTTATTCTAAATTTTACAAGAATGGATTACGGATATATAAAGGCTGGTAGGTATTAGTTAGAAGTTTTAAGTTTAAGATTGGCTGTGATATGAGTTAAATAGTGAATTTTGTACGAGTTGTAAAGAGTTAAGTTGTTTAAGTTAATTAGTGAAGTAATTAGTGTATAGTAACATGGAATAAATTATTGTTGTGTTAATAGGTGGAGTTTGATATTGAAATAAACGGAACCAAGATTTCTGTCACGTACCCCAGAGCCATGACATTGGTGTCAGAGGTGAGATATAATTCGAAGACTGCAAAGTGAAATCCGATTACAGAATAGTGTGGTCACTGTAGTGTGAGAATTGGTACCCATACTGGGACAATTAGTCAGTGCAAGCAGTGACAATCACAAAAGGAGACTTAAGCGATCGTGTAATAGATAGAAATAGTCACCCTCCCATACTTCCGCCAGGACAATTATCACAGCAAATACATTATCACAGATTGCGAACCACTGGCAAGATATTTTTTTTAAAAGAGTTTACTGAACCTACAAATAAGTCTACATCGATACTGTTCTGCAGGTGATTGAAGTATGAGCAGGCTCGATAGATTGGCTCATTTCTGGCAAGATATGTGGGGCGATTTTCCAAATAGAATTTGCGGTGGGAACGTGTGTTGCCTACTGGTAAAGAAAAATTAAGGCTGTTTAGAAGATCTGGAGAGTCCACCAGGTTGTTACATAATTTAAAAAGAAAGAGTTGACTTGCTAAAATTGTACTCTGTTGAAGTGAGAGGAAGTTGAACTTGTTGAGTAGCAACTGGTGGTCAAATCCTCTTGGAGGGTAAATTCCATCCTTTTTGAAACTTAGATACTTTAGGAATCGCCGTTGAACATATTCGAGCCTGTCCACATGTATTTGATGGTAAGGAAACCACACCAGAGAAGCATACTGCAATTTAGACTTGACCAAAGAGTTGTACAACGTGATGAGACTGTCGATGTTCTTAAACTCTCTTGTTGATCTAATAATAAACCCCAGGGTTTTCAATGATGAATGCACAATTTGATCAATATGGTCATTGAATGTGAGCTTTTTGTCGATCACCACCCCCAGATCCCGGATTGAGTCAACTTTCAAAAGAGAACTAGATTGGAGTTGGTAATTGAAATTCAACTCATGATTGATATTTGAGATGGTCATTGATTTACACTTATTAATGTTTAGATATAATTTGTTATTTTGACACCAACCTGAAAGTGCGCCAATATCTTTCTGCAGCTCCTTACAATCTTCTAAGTTGTTAATTATTCTAAATAGTTTGAGGTCATCTGCGAATAATAAACTCTGTGATGAGACGTTCTGGGTAATATCATTGACAAATATGGCAAATATCAGAGGCGCGAGATTACTTCCCTGAGGGGCTCCGCTGGTAGCATTATAATCATAGGATTGGAACCCATTGTATTCGACAAATTGCGACCTACCACTGAGATAGGAGATAAATTAATAAGGTTGTTGTGAAACCCAATTTGAAGCATTTTATGAGCAATAAGCCCATGGTCCAACTTATCGAACGCCTTCGAAAAGTCCGTGTAGATCACATCAAGTTGTTTTCTTTCATTCACAGCCTGATATGCCTTTGTTAGGAAAGAAGTTAGGTTAGTGATAGTTGAGCGTTTGCTATAAAATCCATGCTGGATAGTGGTAGTTAAGTTTTTAACTTGGTGGAAGAGATTGTCATATACACAGACCTCAAAGGCCTTGGAGAAGTTGGACAAAATGGAGATTGGTCTGTAATTAGAGATATTGTTAATATCCCTGCCCTTAAATGCTGGACATATTTTAGTTTTCTTCCAGTTATCGGAGAAAGTGTGGGTCTTGATTGCTAAATTAAATATGTGGTGCAGTGGAGATGTAAGACATGGGGCACAGTCCCGCAGTATGAAAGATGGTACTTTGTCATGCCCAGAAGTATGTGTGTTTTTTAATTTTTTCAGGGATTCAAAGATTTCAAATTCAGTAATATGGGTGACATTAATGTTCTGAGAGTTGCCAACATCATTCAGGCTATCCAAGCTAAAATCTGAAGATGCTTCATAGACACTTTTAAAAAACTCTGCAAAGCCATTTACTATACTCTGTGGACAATCTAGGGAGGATTGACCAGAAATTAGTTTACTTGGGATACGTGTTTTATTGCGTTTTTGACGAATGTATTTCCAGAAGTGCTTTGGATTCACCTTGATTGAAGATTCAGTGTCCCTTATATATGCTTTGTATGCGACATCAATTTTTATTTTTATCATACGTCTCATGTTTGCATATGCTTGGTAGTCCAAGTTTGAGCCACTTTTTCAATATTTTTTGTGAAGCCTATTCTTCTCATTAAGATTGTTTATTATTTCTTTAGTGTACCAGTTGGGGTACACAACCCTACTTGATTTTTTATTATACAATGGGACACATTGGTCAAAAATGGTGTAAAGAGTATTATAGAAATGATTGACGGCTTGGTTAACATTAGATTCATTGAGTAAAGAGTCCCAATTTGCGACAGTTAGTAGATGGTACATCAGGTTGAAATCGGCCTTATTAAAGTTATAGTTTCTACTTGTGTTAGAGGTTGGAAAGTCACTGAACCCCGCATCTGGGTTTAGCTGCATGTCAAATGAAACATTGAGGGTGGGGTGTGCAGAATCCTCCGGGACAAGGGGAATATGATCTCTAGTTACCTCACATTCAAAGTTAGCAATAACAAGATCCAATATGTTACCCGATATGTTTGAGAAAGTGTTAAATTGTGTTAGGCCCCCTAGCGCTAAAAAATCATTTATATGAGTTTCTTTAACATTTGTGTTGGGATTGAAATCACCGATAAAAGCAGCTTTGTTATTTTGAATAGGTTCATATGTGGAGAAAAAATCAAATAGGGTCTGGTGCGAGTTGGAGGGTGAGTTAGGTGGAATATAAATACTAAAAATAAATAGGGTAGAGTTATCTAGATATAGCTTACAGCCTACAATATCAACAACAGGTACCAGATTCTCCAGTTCTTTCAGGTTCAGTTTTGACGAGGTGAGGTCGTGCCTAACACCAAGAAGCACACCTCCACCTTTTGTGACATCCATGAGATCAAGCCTGCGGTCAGCCCTATAGACAGCA